CAGTCGAGATGAAAAGTGCGGGACAAAACAAACTAGGGGAGGTTGGGTATCTCGACCTGGATCATAACAAACGCAGAACCCAGCAACAGGCCGGAAACAACGCTTACTCACATTAATTAGGTACACTTGGAAGAGTCTGTCGTAACCAGGGAATGGCTACCAATGAAAAAAAATGAAGGCTAGCCTCGTTCATACAAACCAGACTCGCCACCGTTACCCACCTTTCATTGAAATCTGTCGATACCAACCGCTTTCTATAAGTTCTAATCTTCATCCCGAGCTGATGCTGAAAAAATCTGATGAGATTTTGAAGAGAATAGCGATTGCTTCACAAGATTTCCTCCATTATCGTCGTCCAAATCACCATTCGAGCCGTGGCCAGTAGCGTCAGAAGCACCATCCGTCTCACCCCAGAATACAGGGTTGACGTATTCTCACGCGCGTATGCGCGATCAATGTGCACGAGCTTTTCGAGAGCGATACGAGCCGTCAACTCGCCGATATAGTCCCAGAGGGGGCGCACCCGAGGGCGATGGCAGAAGGCTTGCGTAGCCGTATCCTCTGAGCCAACATCTCATCATTGACAGTCTGGCAAATCCGGCCAGCCCCATTTGAACGCTATGTCATTGAGAGATAGTCGATTCTGAACTAATCGTTGCTTGTCTTGTAATGAAGAACGGCTGTACTGGCAATGAAGGCGTCAAAACGAATGAAACGCCGGCTTTGGCACTATAGCGGCGAGTTGACGGCTCGTATCGCTCTCGAAAAGCTCGTCGAAAAATACTGGGAGAGTTATGTCAATCATTTCTTTAATAATAATAATAATAATTAAAATAATAATACTAATAATATAATCCCCCAGACATCGTGATCATCGACCACAAAAACAAAATGTGCTTTTTTTTACTGACATGGCAGTCGCTGTAGATGGTAATGTACCTTTGAAGATTTTCAAAAAACTATCAAAATACAAGGTCATTGAAACGGAAATTTCAAAAAATGTAACATATGATGACATCAATAATTCCAGTTGTATATTCCTCGGATTAAATAGAAACGTTTCCAATAGACACACTGAAGGGATTTCTCGTATCGAAATAACGAAATATAAAAACGAAGGGCTCTATCTATTTCAAATGTGTGTTTTATTTTCTCAATTTTTCCGTCGAAAGTGTCATCATGCCATTCCTGACATTAGGTCTATAGTTGGGACCCGGAAGGAAATGCGTACGCAACAGAAATCAAAGGAAATACTACTACTAATACTACTACTACTAATAACAATAATTATTCAAGATAATTTCATTGTTTTCTAATAGCTATTGAATTATTGTCTCAATTGCTGTGATGAAAATGAAATGAAGATAAAGAAATACTAGACAAAAATGAATAAGTTTGAATATACTTCAGCCAATAGCATTTTAAGATATTAATACTAATGGACATAGACTATCACTGCGACAATTACTCTGAACAGTTGAGATGAAACTCGTGTAAAATTTAGACAGATTAGATACATTACAAAAATTGTTTATGGTTGTCAGTGCTTCACCTATTAAAACTTCAAGATAATATGGCTGCAGAATAAAGGCCAGAACGGATGAGATGCAAAGCAACTAACATTCAGATGAAAGAAATACGAGTCAAAAATTAATAATTCTTCATAACGCATATTTTAATATCCCATGATGATAATAATACTACTGAAGGACATAGACTGACGGTATTCGTAGAGGGGATAAAAAGACTTTAAAATTAAGATGAAAAAAAATTGACAGTGCTTACGGTAATAACACATATCAAAGTAATATTAGGACTAACACCCGTAGACTTACGTTTTGAGTAGATGCAACGAAAAGAAACTAAAATTAATATAAAAAATACCAGTAAAAATAATAAGGGTTGACAATGCTGCATCTATTAAAAATACTAATCAACATTAATAATGGCTAACAATACTTCATCTGATACTATTTCAAGATAATATTACTACTAAGGTCCATAGACCGACAGTTTGAATGACCAAAGAAACTAAAGTAAAAATGAAATGAAAATCAGGAAACACTAGACAAAAGTTGACAATGCTTAATGTAATACCACCTATCAAGATAATATTGGACTAACGGTCACAGACTGTCTGTTTGAGTAAATGCAGCTAAAAAAATGGAAATAATACAAAAATTACGAATAAAGAAATAATAATGTTTGAGAATATTAAACTTTCAATATAATGTTACTAAAAAGGGCAACGGATTAATGGTGTTAGTAGAGGAGAATGGGAGAAAACTAAGATATCAAAATACTAATGAAAATTAATAGTGGCTAATAGGATTAGGGAAGGCTGATTTTTCACTTTTTTAGAAAATCAATATGGCGCCCAGTGTGGAATCTGGGGTTTAATGTGATTAATACTGAAGCCAAACATTACATTTACATCTTTTACAAATGTTTGAGCATTTAGTTATAAAGATCGTCTTAAAAAAAATGTACAAAAATACTTAATTATTTGTTTACAAACTGACTTCCAATTTTTACCATTTCAAGGATAAATCCAAATATAGTTGATATTTTTTTGTATTAGATACATTAAATGAAAAATTTAGGAAGCACGGTGGATGATAAAAAGTTCGAGTCATAGCGTCTCGGATTGAGGAATCGAAGAGCCGAGTTCGAATTCCAGCTAAATTCATTACATTCATTTATGTACTAATACTCTTAGGAAAGGTATGGATCTTCTTTTTCTTCTTCCTCCAGCTATACGTAAATAGCAGGACAGACCGGGTTCTATAGCCTTGGATGGCAACTGGTGTACCGCAGAAAGAAATAGCAACCTAATGCGGGAAAAAATTCAGCCACAGTCATGTATCGAAAGATACATGATCGCCTAAGCGTGTATCACACATTGCACATAACTAAAATGAAAAATTACTCAAATCAAAATTTTAATTAGGACTCTCCACAAGCAAAATATACAGTTATTTTTTACTGTATTCGATAAGTAAAAACTGTAAAAAAAAATTGTGAAAGAATGCAAAAAAGGCTACTCAATGAATCAGATTTGTTAGATCACAATAAAAACAATAAATAGTTAAATGTATATAATAACATGATTCTGATGAACACCTTAAATTTGCACTGTTTATTGAAAATCACACTAAAGCTACTGCATTGTATTATATATTACATCATAATATAGCTAAATTGTTCAGTATAACTTCCCTTTGAAGTAAATGAAGGTTTTATTTGAAGGCAGAATTATTTAGTAATAATGTCCTTGTGTCATACATGTTGTCCATATACAATTTGTAAAGCTTCAGTAAATTATAAATTATATAAGGCTTTGCTATAAGGCTTTTACTGATTACCGGAATGAAATTTCAAAGCTACGATTTGGAACCTAAACTTAATCTTTAAATTCGTTTCTAAATTTTGTTAAAAATACTTTTGAGTCCTCATTTATCATGTCAAACCACAATTTTCAAATTGAATGCAATGAAATGATTCCAAAATAGACCTGCCCAGATGAGCATAGATTTGTCTGCGACAAGTTTAGGTTTAACTTTAGTTTGTTTTATGGCATATCAACACCTCATTGAGTTATTTAATTCCGACAATTTTTTAGAATAGGTTTGTATGAATAAATTCTTTGTAAGAAATCAGTTTTTAGTTCAGGTCTCATTGACATATTTTTTAAAGATGGTATATGTCGAAAGTCAAATGTATTGCTGTTAATTTTTTTTTCAAGATGTATTTCTGGTAATTTTTAGCATAAAAATATAGTTTTATACTTCCATAGTGTTTTGACCAAATTTGACGATTAATTATTTGCCCATAGCTAGGACCCAAACAGGTGTTGCCACCCTGGGTCATAGTAGACCTGGGAACGATTGCAACTAAGAGGTGGTTCCTCGCACTTCAAAACCGCCCGATTAGAGTTCTTGATGTCGGATGTAGTTTATCGTCATACCGATGCCGACCTGCGATAGGAATAGTTTCATTCCAAAACGTAAGTTGCTACAGAATCAAAATATTAGCCTAATGTTCGAGTCATCTCCTTAAATAGCCTCGCCATATTGATAATTTCACATTGTTGCCATGTATGGCGTCAAATTCGTTCAGAAATATCTAAACAGTCGGCTGTATACAATTGCTTTCTCAGATCGAGAAAAGAATTGGTTAAGAATGATCATTCTATGAACTTCTTCTGATATTATTTCAAGATATTATTCCTTACTAATTAAACCGACATTATGAGTAACAAAATCAACTAAACTAAATATGAAAGAAATACTATTAAAGAAAATCATCATGGTTGACAATGCTTCCTGTAATAAAAAATATTCGAAATAAAATTATTATTAAGGTTCGTAGACAATTTATAATCATTTAACCCCAAGCAAGGCGACAAAGTCACTAGGACGCAATGGGTTACTGAGTGTGAAAAAATAAGAGCAAAAGAAAAGAAAATCATTATTAAGGAGAGAGGACAATAAAAGAACGGGAATTAAGGAGGCAGATGATAACAATTGATATAGAATTTAATTTCTTTTAAGATTAGAGTTGACTGGAAAGCAAGAAGGAATAAGAGAGTTCCACCAGAGAGAAGTGCGAGAGAAGAAACTGTCAGCATAGAACTTACAGTTGCATCTAGTAATTTCAGCTGTAAAATGATGAGAACTTGCCAATGTAATACTGCGTTTAAATTCATAAAGTGGAGCTACAAAAGAGGAAAGCTCAACAGAACAATTAACATGAAATCACTTATGGTTTCAGTAGATGCGATAAATAGCAACGAGAGGTAAGATTAAAGTACTAGTAAAAACATAATATTGCTTGGCAATACTACATTTGATAAAGAAAAATCGAGCTAATGTTACTACTACTAATAAAATTCTAATATACAAGTCAACCAATAACATCAAATATGGCGGAGGCGAGGGAGGAATAAATATATGTTTGGATTTGATATACTTCTAAAATTAGAAGCACGGACACATCACATTGAAATACCCGTTCCCGTACAATCACCGAAGTTAAGCAACGTTGAGACTGATCATTACCTAGATGGGAAACCGTTTGGGAATACCAGGTACTGTAGACTTGGTTGTGCAGATGGCATACTGAGCTTACGGATACATCACATTGTAACACCGGTTCCCGTACGATCTCTGAAGTTAAGCAACGATGAGCCTGGTCAGTACCTAGATGGGTAACCTTTTGGGAATACTGTAAGCTTGGTTGCGCAGATGGTACAGTGAGCTTACGGACACATCACATTGTAACACCGGTTCCCGTACGATCTCTGAAGTTAAGCAACGCCGAGCCTGGTCAGGACCTAGATGGGTAACCTTTTGGGAATACCAGGTACTGTAAGCTTGGTTGCGCAGATGGTATAGTGAGCTTACGGACACATCACATTGTAACACCGGTTCCCGTACGATCACCGAAGTTAAGCAACGCCGAGCCTGGTCAGTATCTAGATGAATGACAACTTGTGAATACTAGTTGCTAGAAGCTTGGATGTGCGGGTGGTGTAATGGATAAGGTTTCAGAATTGTTAATCGGAGAGCCGAGTTCCAATTCCAGTCGTGTTCGTTATATTCAACTACGGGCAAATAATCTTGGAAAAGGTATGAATCTACCTCATCTCCCCCAGCTACGGATTAATTAGTAAGACTTGTATCATTAAAACATTATTATCTCCAAACTAGAATTGTGTGCAAAAATATTTAAATTTTGGTATTAAATAAGCCATAGAGGTTGATATGCTGCTAAACAAAACAATCAAATCTTGTAACTTGTTAGAGTACTGATCGTGGTAAGTTCGTCTTTAGAAGGCAAAAAGGATGCTGATTCGTGTGTTCCCGAGAAATTATTTACTGAAGGTCTGAGATTTTTGCGATGAAAAGAGTCTGGAATTAAGATGAAAGAAATATTCGACAAAAGGTAATAATAGTTGAGCGTCAAATGATTATGGAAGAAAAGTCGCAAATTTAGAATCGTCATTATGGTTGAGTACCCTTGCTTACAGATTTGTATTCGCGTGGGCGATTGCGAAAATGAATCTCTCCAGGCTTTATAGGTGCGCCTTCAATGTCGATGTAACTTTCCTTCGCATAAAACGGCCTAGTGTTTCATGTGTCTGTTCGGCTTCTTAAAATCCGAAATACATTAATATTATTATGACGCCTTTCATTTTAATACACATGGGCGATAAAGAAGTGTATTTAGTAACTAATAGAACCACTCATATTTCAAGAAAAGGATTAGTTTGAAAGGAGGGGGAATTAGGCAACTATAGAGAGGAATCTGTACGCTAAGGATGACAGTCGAGACTGACGTGGCGCTTCGAGATCAAGCATTAAGTAAATAAAAATTTTAAAAAATCAAATTTAAAATATTTTATCTGGAATGAAATATTGTGCGGCAAAAGTTTTCAGCATTTTTTTTAAAAACTTGAATCCAGTTTCATTATGTGATCTTTAAATAATAAATAAATTGCAGGAACCTCATGCGCACAACTCTCATAAATTTCCCAATGTTCTTCGGCACATTCATGAAAAACGATTTGATTTAGGTATGAAAAAGTTTTTCTTTAGAAAAGCCAAATTTATTTAGCCAACCAGATTTCTTTAGAAACCTCAATTTATTAAATAACCAAATTTCTGTATCTGTCTATATTTCTGAGATGAGGTATTATGTACACTATTTACATTATTCGGACTATTGTCCTCATCTTTGTCGCCATATATATAACAACGTTTCGGCCTTTCAGTATCTGTCTATATTTCTGTGATGAGGTATGATGTACACTATTTACATTATTCGGACTATTGTTCTCATCTTTGTCACCATATTTATTACAACGTTTCGGCCTTTCAGTGCCAGTCTATATTTCTGATATGAGGTATTATGTACATTATTTACATTATTCGGATTATTGTTCCCATCTTTGTCGCCATATTTATTACAACGTTTCTCCGTTGGAATATCGAACTGAACGCATTATTTCGCTCACTAGGGTAGACTGTTCTAGTTCCAGTGTGCGAAATAAAGGGTTCAGTTCGACATTCCAATCACCTGAAGAAGACCGGAGCGTACAACGTCCGAAACGTTGTAATAAATGTGGCGACAAAGATGAGGACAATAGTCCGAATAATGTAAATAACCAAATTTCTTTAGAGACCCAGATTTCACTAAAAAACCAGATTTACTTACAGACCCTGATTTCTTTAGTAAACCAAATTTATTTCTTTTGATTTCTTTTAAAAACTAGATTTCTTTAAAAAACACAGGTTTCTTTATGTTGTATCTCGTGTTTTCGAGATAACAGAGTGAAATAAATAAGGACGACAGACTCGTATGTACGTAATGAAATAGAAGGTTTACTATACAAAGGTACACTTAGCAATTGACCTAATGCTAACTCGGTATTTACCCGATACCTCCCCACAAGTCAGGATGGGGCGTTCAGAGCCCGTAGGCTCGGGCAAAAATTCCCCGTGGTCGGGTTTGTCTACCAACCCAGACGAGACTCTGCCATTCGGCATAGCTTCATCTGGGATCCTCTCTGCCAGGAGGCGGAGAGTTCGACAAGAACTAAGAGATTAGTGCGCGGCTAAGACCTCATGTTAACTCACCTCAACTCTGGTTAATTCCGCTTGTTTACATAAATGGACGATTCCATTCGTTTATGTCCTATATGGCACTTTAGAAAATCCAAATTTCTTTAGAGACTCAAATTTATTTAGTGAGCGAAATTTATTTAAAAATCCAGATTTCTTTAGAAAACCCTAATGTATGAAAACAGATTTCTTTATAGATCCAGATTTTTTTAGAGAGTCATATTTCTTTAGCAACACAAATTTATTTAAATTATCAGGTTTCTTTAGGAGCATACATTTCTTTAAAAATCCAGGGTTTTTTTAGGAACCCAAATTTGTATAGGGTCCCAGATTTTATTAGAAACCCATTTTTTAGAAAGTCAGATTTCTTTAGAAACCGAAATTTCTTTAGAAACTCAGATTAATTCAATATGGAATTAAAGACGTAGTTTCATCATGAATTTTATTGGTCAATTCTTATAAAGATGATTATTCTCTTGAGTTTTTTATTCTCAATGGTTTTTTACGGATTATCAACCTTTGTCTTGAGTTTTTGTTGCATTTTGAATTAATTTTTTTTTTAGGCATTACTTTGAAAAAGCGTTCTTCTTCATACGATGTGCGATGGAACTTCAAGACTTATTCGATCATGACACTCCACAGCTTCCTATCCCTTGTAGCTCTTAACAGAGTTAAGTTTTCCAAGTCCCCCTTCCTCATTATATGTCCAAGGGGTTTCAACTGTCTCTTCCTCATTCTGAATATAAGTGTTTTTTTTAAGACTTCCTCGTTGTTCACTCGTCCCGTCCATAGAATTTTCAGTGTCGTTCTGTTGAACAACATTTCTGCTGCCTCCAGTTTTCTTCTCATCCGCGGGGAAATTGTCCAACATTCTCTTGCCATCGATATACACTGTGTGGGATAAGTTTTCCAAACCCTTCTTCCACATAATATGTCCAAGTGGTTTTAGCTGTCTCTTTCTGATTCTGGGTAGAAGTTTTCTTTTTGTTGCCTTTTTCTTTAATACGAAAGATTTTTCAACGTTCACCGCCATATAAGAGAATAGTTATCACATAGCAATCCAGCACTCTTTTCATTGTTGCTAATGAAATGTGTTTCTTTCCTAGCTCTTTGATTAGCTTTTGGAATAACTCTTTCGCTAGTCCAATGTGTGTTCAGATCTTGGTTTGGTTTGGTTTGTTTTACGACATATGAACCTCAATGGGTTATTTAATGCCGACAAGTTTTTTACTGCTGGTAATATTTTTTCCAAAAATGTATTGCGGGGCACAGTTGAGCGAGATACCAACAAAGCTCTTTGTAACACGAAAGATGTACTGAAAACAATCATTATGGCAGTATTCACCGACTTATTCAAGGAGATCGTCCAGAAGAGTTGCAGGAGATTCGGAAGCTGTCTGGAGGCTGTGGTTGAAGCCAATGTCGATTTTATTGAATGAATTTACTACTTAGGATTTAAAGATATATTTGTGTAATGTTAGTAAATATATCTGTTAAAATGAGATGTCAGTGTTATTTTCATTTTTGCGTCATTTAAACGACAATTTATCCATCGCACACAGTATTTCTGCTAACTGTATTTTTGGTATTGTTCAAATATATTCTTGTGCCCTACCTTGTTAAATATCTCTGCGCTGAAATCAGCTCATAATGTTAACGTTTCTTGATTTATGCTTTTTGCGTAGTTACGTAATGTACGAAGACCATGAAGAGATATGAGATAACGATGAACTAAATGAAGAGATTTTGTTTTTATAAACCGGATTTGTATTTGTGACCATTCTGTTTTTTACAGCAACGAGAAGAAAAAGCTTGAAAGTGAAAACAACAAAAGTACAAAAGTACGCGGGTGTAGGCTTTAAGAAAGCTTTATTCAACTGAGAATGCATTGTTTGTGTATAGTGTCCTTTTATAGTCTCAGTAAACGGAAATAGTAACAAAATAAGGGGTGACCACTATTGGTTATTCATAACACAGAGTACTGTAGCTAATCTTTAATGCAAATGGGAGTTGGTGTTGGAGCCAGAAATATCTAGTGCCGAGGCCAAAGATTCTTTTTTTTTATCGTAATTCTTTCTAAGATTGAAGGTGATATCAAGGCAGAAAAAAAACTGATCCATCAGAAATATATTTTGCGGTTAAACAGATTGTAATGACAAAAGTCCACAAGTGTAGGCTTTAAGAAAGCTTTATTCACCTGAGAATACACTGTTTGCGTATAGTGTCCTTTTATAGTCCCAGTAAACGGAAATAGTAACAAAACAAAATAAGGGAGACCACTTTAATGCAAATGGGGTTTATTCAGAAATATCAGACCAAAGTACTTTTTTTTAGCTAATCTTTAATGCAAATGGGAAAAAAAAGTTGGTGTTGGTAAGCCAGAAATATCTAGGCTTGCCGAGACCAAAGATTCGTATAGTGTTTTTTTCCCATAAACGGAAATAGTAACAAAATAATTTTTCTAAGAATCTTTTGAAGGTGATGTCAAGGCAGTAATTCTTTCTAAGATTGAAAAAAAACTGATCAATTAGAAATATATTTTGCGGTTAAACAGATTGTAATGATAAAAGTCCACAAGTGTAGGCTTTAAGAAAGCTTTATTCACCTGAGAATACACTGTTTGCGTATAGTGTCCTTTTATAGTCCCAGTAAACAGAAATAGTTCTCTCAAAGAGGAGAATAACGAAAAAAGAGAAGACCAATATTGATCATTCAAAACAACAACACTAACATCACAGTTGTTTAAATAAATATGGTTTGGTTTGTTTTGTTTTACGGTATATCGACTTCAATGGGTTATTTAACGCCAACATTGTTATTGCTGGTAATTATTTTAAATGTATTACTGGTAACATGTTTTTTTAAAACGTATTGCTGTTAATATTTTTTTCGAAAACATTTATTGCTGGTAATAAATTTTTCCAGAAATATTTCGATGATATTAAAATTTATTTTTATACTTTCATATTGGTTTGAGTCTAATTTGGTGGTTAACTATTTGTCTATAGCTGGGAACCTAAAAGGTGCTACCACTCCGGTTCGGGGTGGACCTGGGAATACCAGCAATTAAGAGGTCGTTCCACGCTCTTCAAAACCTTGTGATCAGAGGCCTTGCTGCCCGATGTAGTTTATCGTTATACCTAGGGCGGTTTAAATAGAGAAGGGTAAATAGAGATAATAAGAAAAAAATATTCCCCGTTTTGAATATTAAATATTTTTCTTGGCATTTCGTTTTGTTCTTTTGAAATCAGCCAACCGGCTAACTTCCACTTGTTTAAGAACTTTTAACCTCGACTCTCGTGATTTCTGTTCAATATGAACAACAATTGATTAATTTGTTTTTTTACGGCTTATCAACCTTTTGCAAAAAACCGGAAAAAGAAATTTTTGCGATAATAACACTTTGCTGATACGTAGTTCTACTAATTAACCCATAGCTGGGAGGAGAAGAAGTGGGTTTATAGCATTCCCAAATGTATAGTTGCGCGTTAGTCAATACAGCGAGACCGACTGAAATTGGAACTCGAGTCTCCAACTTCCAATTCCGAGCCATTATAATTTAAACCACCAAAGCTTACAGCACCTGGTATTCCCAAGTGGTAACCCACCTAAACTGAAAAATGTTTTACCGCACTAGTCAAGGATTATGTATGTGGTTAAACGTCTGCGTCGGTTGTTTATATAACCGCATGGTTTCCAGCCCTTTCCCACGGTTGCAAAGCGGTAAAAAAAAAAAAAAAAAAAAAAACATATTTAGATTCGCATCTAATTTTTTTGTCTCGGATGCTACCTGAATTTTACCAAAAACAAAATAATTTCCATGCCTGAAGAAGACTGAATGTACAGTCGAAAGTACTTGCGTATTAAAGAAACACCTTATACAGCTTATAATTTTTAAAAACAAGGATCATAACATTCATCGAGTGATTTGTAGGTTAATGCACCTTTAAAATTTTGTTTGTGAAGGGATTTCGCTATTTTATATCATTAACTTTACTAATCTACTTTTTGTTTGAATGATTCATTGTAATTTAAATTGAACTTCACCACATATATATATTAGATAACATTAGAAAGATTTTAGAGTTCCATGAAAATAAGTGGATACAACGACTAAAAACACACTATCCAGCCTGGCTAAACCATAAATTTAACAATATACATAGTACTAATATATAACTTTACAACTCAAAACCTACCCACATTTCTCACCCACACAAGACAGACATGCTTACGGAGGTGTGGAGGCCTCACACTTATACAGACCCACATGAATATACACACTTACACACATCATACTCACTCACTCCCTAATGTGCCAAATGATAACACACACCCACAGCAATACACACGCTTACACATATTATACTCACTCACTTCCTAAGAACCAAATAACACACACACAAACACTCAACAGAGACACATCCCCTCTCCAGGACCAATAAAACTGTCAAACTGACCAGGGGAATTCAGAGAAGCATAGATCCATCCAAATCTTATCTCAAATAACAACTTAAAAGAGACTGTTTGACCAACACAAGGAATGTTAAAAGATTCATGTTAAAAAGATAAAAAAAAACAAAAAAACAAATGAAAACTACAGACAAAAGTTCATTTTCTCCATCAAGACATTCATTTCTGTAGTTTACTGCTACCAGCAAGCAGAAATATTTCTTCTCCCGATGATGGCCATTTTGGCCGAAACTAGTCGAGGAATCTAAATGAAATAATAATAAAAAAAAACAAAAACGAAAGAATATTAATCTACAACCCTGTCTGAAGATTTTAATTTTTTAATATTCTTTATTGTTCAATACATATATATATATATATATATATATATATATATATATATATATATATATATATATATATATATATATATATATATATATAAATAAATTAGAAATTGCTTTGTTTACGCTTCGGATACCAAACTGAGCAAATATAAAGATTCCGAGAAAATAATCTGGGTGAAGGGTATGTGTTTTCTTTAAAAAAGTAAAATATCCATTAGTGTCACATTCTTCGTAGCCGAAAGGTAAATGACACTGTATTAAACGGTGGTTTTTTTCCCTACAAAGATGAATGCAGGTTCGATCTCTGCCCACGAACTCATTTTCTCGAATGTGTAAGCTGATAAACGTAATATACACTGTTTAACACTTTGGAGACGACAGAGCCGATATATCGGCCGAAAAGTCGAATGACAAAGAATCGGACTGGGCCTAACCGTCGGTCCGATAATACAAGCTACGTGATTAGCTGTCTGCTCTTCGTACCAGCCAATCAGATTCCTTTCACATCTGGGCTGTTCATTGGCAGTTTCTATTATAGTTTGCCTTGTTCTTTGATTTTACATCGATTTTTTTTTGTCTTCCAAGCGAGGGCATGGGAAAAAGTCTTGGCACTGAAACGTATGAAATAACACACACACATACAAATATACATACATACATACACACACACACACACACACACACACACACACACACACATATATATATATATATATATATATGATAAGATATAGTTTTAAGGTATGCTACATTTATGCGTTAAAGTGTTCAATATCAGGGATAGAGCATGTGTATATATATGTGGACACTGAAGCCATCACCCAACGGCGACAGTCTGTTTCATAGATAAATAGATAGATAGATAGATAGATATAGAGAGATAGATAGATAGATAAATTATGATATTAAAATGACACATAAAATCGCTACACAATTGCAGTCGTGTTTCGACACATGCCAATGCGCTTCTTCAGGCGATTGTAAATTACTGGCAAGTGAACAATTAATTTGGCTTCAAAAGCAAAATGTATCCACTTTTTTCTAAAACAAGGTTACAAGGCTTGGGGGCTTTACCCCGATCAACCAATCGAATATGACGTACTAAGCGAAGAAGAAAAAAAATTAAGTTCCTTAAAAATGGGTCATGGTCAGGAATTATTTGTCGATAGCAGCCAGACATTAAATTAAAGACATTTTGTAACCATTTGTATCAATGTCAGACGGTCAACTTTCCCAAGAAATAAAAGCGTAGAGGTAAAGAGGTAATTTAACCTAATGTAAAATTTTTCTTTGTAGATTTTCTATATATTTTTTTTCAGTTGATAAATAAGAAGCCCATTTAACAAACTAATAAATAATTCAAACGTATAAAACTATTCAGTAAATTAATATACAAGTGTTAATAATAATATAAGATGTTAACAATACCAGTCAATTTGTGTAAGATGTAAAAATATAAACTAACCACCAATAAATCCATATAAGATGTTAATAATATTAACAGGAGATTAATACAGAACTACAAACAAATTTTACAAATAGAAAAATAAGCCATATATGGTGTAATGCCATTCAACTAAAATATAGCAAAAATCCTTTTCAAATTCCAAAGATTTAATAAATTGTAAGGTAAAACGTAGTCTATGTCTACAATTTACCGTTAATTCGCTCCTTTGATTTAATAAGGAGTTCTTATGATGAAATTCGATAATTTCAAATTTTCATGCAAACACAGGAAACATGGTTCATATAAAGATCTACATTTTCCATTTCGGGATTTTCATTAGCTTTTAAACTCCAAAAATATTTAGAAAGTGATGTATTATTGGTAAAAGGGAAAATAGGTTGATATCACCTTGTCTTAAAAAGAATTCTTAGTACTATCGACATAGAATGAAAACTCCTAAGTTGAAATGGAAAATTTTAAAAATATCAAGAACATGTAAACTGAATTTAAAACAAAATTTTTTAAATTCACAAATTTGTTGTGTTACGTTAAACTCAATATAAATTAAATCACTAATTTTTTCATTTTCCAGATTTGAATTTTTAACTGTTACCTTCTCCTCTAGACAGAAATTACAATGCTGATTGTTCACGCACCAGATGAAAGGCAGATTTTCACTTCCGGGATCATCCTGATAAAAATGGTATAATATCTCTGTTTAGAGCTAGTATGGCCTGAGTTAGAAGGGTGTAAGACACACGGACGGACCTTTGTCGTTTATTTATTTAGATAAAAATGAATAAACGAGAAACAGAAACCTTTTATTTACCGACATGTTTCCTCTTCTGGTGGACTTTATTTAGGTAAGTGATAATACATTTGCCTTGATAATGCTCATCAGAGAACGAAACATGTTGGCAAAGAACAGTTTTCATTTCGGTTTATTTATATTACCTTTTTACAGATACATATATATATATATATATATATATATATATATATATGTGTGTGTGGATTTTTACACAAACGCACACATATATATATATTAATGTAGGTGTATATCAGCACCCTCTGTCGTTATCAGAAAAATAATGCGTAAGTAAAATATTCGTTATTATTCGTGACTTAGGTAGGTTCGCAGGTAGCTGCCGGATTTTATAAATGAAAATTATTTCAACAAAACAAAAAGAACCATGAATAATAATAATCAATAATAATAATAATAACGATATGAAATAAATACAACGAATACCGTTGAAAAAGAAAGAAAGAAGAAAAGCCAATGAATTTTATAAAGGCGACTGCTGAAGAAGAAATGTTTTGTTCTGTTAGTGAAGCCCAAGCAAAACTATCGTCACCATTCCTGGGAAGAATTCTGGAATTAGGAAGACTTGTAAGGAATCTTTGACGTGGTGTTCCGTTTACTTCTCGTTCCTTTTATCGAACAATAATAATGTTATCATCCGCCGATAGCCGTCATCGTTTAATAAGCTTTGCCCAAACATTTTAAAGAGAAAGATTAAGCGTTTATAAGGTTTACTGCGTCAACATAACGCGTGGGTTGGAGCCTACACCCACACCCACACAGAGAACCGTATATATATATATATATATATATATATATATATATATATGTGTGTGTGTGTGTGTGTGTGTGTGTGTGTGTGTGTGTGTGTGCACGTGTGTGTGTGTGGGAGAAAGTTTTTTCAGAGTTGAATATATATATATATATATATATATATATATCCATAAAAAAGCTGCTGAAAATATTATCGCATATATATATATATATATATATATATATATATATATATATATATATATATATATATATATATATATTGCGTATATTTTGGTTGCATGTTTTCATTAAGGTATGTTCCATTAAGTAATTTAGACAAGTTTTGTCTACTTATTTTTGATATGATCCTCTCTTTTTCACGAACAAGTTTTTTTATTATCCTTATTTAAGGAAGAAAGAAAGTTACCATATATTGATGCCTATTCATTTATTCTGAGTACTTTTGACATTAGACAAAATGTCATCATCAGGGTTTTGTTTTATCAGCGACTGTTTTTTATATCTGTTGTGTTTATCTGAAAATTAATTTTTTAATTTGTCAAATGAAAAACGATAAACTTATGTACAGTACATACACTACAGATCTTTAGTGTTTTTCACTTTATAAATAAAAACAATAATTTTCAGATAAACACAACAAATTTATTTTCAAAATTATTTAATAATATATATCTTTATATATATATATATATATATATATATATGTGTGTGTGTGTGTGTGTGTGTGTGTGTGTGTGTGCGTGCGTGCGTGCGTGCGTGTATGTGCCTATATATGTACAAGGCGCTAACCAAAATTTTGCGGCTTACGCCCAGATCACGTTCAAACATCGTTTCCCCTACGATGTCCGAACTAAAGCAACTTCGAGTCTGGTCAGTACCACGATGGGTGACCGCTTGTGAAATCGGGTGCTCTAACAGACACAAATCAGGATTCTTCGTCTGGTTGAAAACTATTAGCACATAATAATAAGCGTGGATATAGTCACACATACATATAAAGAGGTGTGGACTCAAAAGTCTAAACTGCACTGTAAATGGCAGTTTCAAGGTTTGACCGATGAGTAATAACAAATTTTATGTGGGAGATAAAGAAATTGGATAGAAAATAGGCTGCGCTTGGGGTATTTCCAAAAAACAAAACAAAAAAAAAACAAACAAACAAAAAAAAACATTGGAGTAAAACTTAAATCATTGCTTTTATAGATCAATGATTAAAAATGACTTCGAGCGAGGAATATCCATCTTCGAATCTCGTGGACTGGTGCTACACTATCGCAAACAACTATACGAAACAAACACCGTATGAACAACAGCAATAGCTAAAATGGATTGCACGCCTAACGCGAAGAGAGAATAATGATATCATCAAGAGATTGATATTCCACACTGTCTGAAACAAAAGGTTAGGAAGGAAACCCCTATCAATGATAGAAAATGTTATCACAGTTACTGGACTGGAGAAGTCTACTTTCGTGAAAACTTGTTTTGATAGAATGGTGTTATAAATATCAACCGACAGTAGCACTTGGCTGCTCGGTCAATAAGAGCTAAATGTTTCCTTATAAGGAAACAGTAGTTCAAAACATTTGACGCTTATTTCTCAAGTCATTGTAATCCTCATATATATATATATATATATATATATATATATATATATAATCGGTTGTGCGGATTTGTAAGCAACAACTATTACTGCTATCATTACAAGGCTCTTTCCTGAATTGAGCACTCTCTCTGTCATTGATATGTTTTTCACAGAATAAGTACGTAAAAATTCGCCTTTTATTCAGCCGTGCGCCGATGGCTTAGGTGGAAAATCTGCGATTGTTGCCGAATCAGTCGGGTTTCGAACCCGGCTTGATGCAATTAGATTTCTACCCACACAGAGGACAACAACACTCGGAAAACAGTCTGTCTACCTTATGTGAAGGGGTTATCAGAGAAAATACAAAGGATCTGCGGTCCATATAACATGAGGAGAACCTTCAAAGCTAGACGACACTTCGTAGATATCTCTCCCGAGTAAGACCCCCCCCCAATAGAGGAGAACATGACTAAAGACTGTGTGTACGCTATCCCGTGCAGCTGCGGAAAGGAATATAAAGGAGAGACATGCCGCCCCCTCAAGGTAAGGCTTCAAGAACACCAGAAAGCTGTAACACGAGGGGAAGTGGAAAAATCAGGCATGGCTGACCACATATGGAGAGAGAAGGGAGATCACCGCCCTATGTGGGACCAGGTTGAGATCATAGACAAAGAAACACCATTGTAAAATTCATAAACTTAAGGAATCAGCACATATGCTAGGCCACAGAAATCTCCTGAGCCGACCAAACATAGAAATAAATACAATATGGGAACCAGTAATAAGGAGTGCCAGAGAAAAGCAATGATAACAACAAAGTTGCAATATGAGCTCTGGTAAAAAACATGCATTTATAACAGCAAAATTGCAATATGAGCATTGGTAAAAATGGTTGCTGAAGACATTAGGTTTATAATACCAAGAAATTCATACCCAGATGTCCTCAAGGAGATAACTTATAACTGACATCCATCAAAAACATGGCACGTGGAACTAGAATAGTCTACCCCAGTGAGCGAAATAAAGGGTTCAGTTCGAAATTCCAAACACCTGAAGAAGGCCGGAGCGTACAACGGCCGAAACGTTGTGATAAATATGGCGACAAAGATGAGGACGATAGTCCGAATAATGTAAATAATGGGCAACTATTCTGTTGTCTTTTGTGCTTCGACTTTATGAATGTCAAGCGTACTATTAGATTGGCGTTAAGTTCTCAGCATTTTACAGTAGATTTTACGTAAATTTTACGTTAACAGGTTCTTCCATCGAACTTTACACTTATGGAACTCTCTTCCGGCTTTTTACTTTCCAGTCAACATTGGTTACCCAAAATTTAAATGCAATGTCAATCATTATATCGTGACTTCTTAACTCTTGTTTTTTTATTGTTCTCTCCCCTGAATAGTGTTTTCCTTTTCTTATATTTTCTCACACACAATAGCCTCTTGCATCTTTATATCTTGCCTGCGGTGAACTGATTAATATATACACTGCACTTCAAAAGTTTGAAACCAACCCTCAGAATAAGTATGAAACGAAATTGACAGAAAAAAAAATTAAAAAGAACTCTTAGAGTCATTGGAAAAAGAATGGAATCAATTATCAAATTTATACTTTGAGAAACTTTTGCAACGAATGTCAAGAATTTGTGCTGCAGTAATCAAGGCTAAAGGAGGATATTTTGACAAGAGAAAAATTTAATCATAAAATGCTTATTTTCTTTTTGGCATAATGGAATTTCTAATAAAAAAAAATCACTTTTTTATCCATGTATAATAATTTTCTCTTTTTTTGGGCTAATCTAGAAATTACCAGGGATTGTCTGAAACTTTTGAAGTGTAGTACACACACACACACACACACACACACACACACACACACACACACACACACACACACACATATATATATATATATATATTCAAACAGGTTTGGTTAAATAATTTCGACATATCGTGTTTACTGCAAAAACAACAAAAAAAAAACAAAAGAAAACGTGAACTTTGAATTTTGAAATCTAGAACGCTGCATAAGCAGTAAAAAAACGAACATTTGAAATGTTTTAAATTCAAAGAAACGTATATACATACTCATAGATAACACCCTGAAGATGGTCTCAGATGAGACTGAAAGCACTTGGGAAAATAAAAACTATTTGAAAGAAAATTTTGGTATTTTTCTTACTCAATTTTCTAGATCTATCAAAATATTGATCTACGAACTTGAAAGGATAACAACGAAAATTAATCGACCTGATGTGTTTAAATTATTTATCCAAACCTGTTTGAATGATGATATGGTGCCTATATATATATATATATATATATATATATATATATATATATATATATATATATATATATATATATATATATATATATATATATATATATATATATATATATATATACACACACACATATATATATATATATATATATATATACACACATATATATATATATATATATATATATATATATATATATGTATATATGTCAGGATGGAATGAATATTCAGTTCGATTTTTGGGGGCGAAGTCATGAACAAATTTTATTAAGTTCTAGCCGAATTATCCGCGCCTTGATGCATGTCACACATGTTTTTTGTAAGAAATTTGTCATAATTTGTAGACAAAAATGATGCATTTCAATATTAATAAATGATGTGGTCGATGTGACCTCCATTTTCTTGCTTTCTCCTTCTATATTTTGGATCGGTCATTCCATTGTTCAAATTTAAATTTAGTTTAAATCAAAGGGAAAAAATCAATGGGTGCTTTGTGCTCCCCGGGACTCCCTTTGATCAAAATGATCTTGCCGATTTGAACTCTATTGTCAGGCTGTCTGCTACTATATTTTGGACAGAGGCTACAACGTTATATACATCGATTGCCCCTTTATGATTTTTAGTAACGCTAATATGAGTAACTTTTTTTTCTTTCAGATTATAAGAATAGTATTCATAATATAGTTCGATTCTTGCCTCTGTGTTCCTCCCAACTAAAGAACACTTTGGAAATATTTTGCAATATGAGTTTTGGTAAAGGTGTCAACGCAAGTGCAGCAGCAAAATAAATAGAGGTCGATGCAATGAGTAAAACGTAGGATGTGAATTTCTCGCTTCAAAACTGAGAATTTCAGTTGAGAGAAATGTCCAAGGGACTCTCGTTCAAAACGATTTGATTCAGAGGATTCAGAAGCTGTAATCACAGAAAACCCCTACCATTACGGCTAAGGAAATCAGTGAGAAGTTTTATTTTAGTAACACAACGGTCCGATGCGAATTGAAAAGGACGAAAAGTGGCTTTAAGAAATCGTTTTTCTGATGCAAAAGAGTATGCGACTATCCTAGAAGCTTTTACATTTTCTAGGTAGGCTGATATTATTTTCATTGTTTATAAAAACTAGTATACCAACTTAAATATGTCTACATAATAAAAATAATATCATAGATTTAGATTAAAAATTCGTGTATATCTTTTCTTTTTTTGCCATCACCTGTCATAATACATTTAAGGGACTGTGGGGACGATACATTTATTATTACAATTGGTCCGCCAAAACGGAAGTTATTAGTGTCTGAAAAATGTATATTTATATATATTCATTTTGAAATCAGTCGTATTGATTGGCTAAGAAACGAAAGACATCGCCGAAAAGCGTCCGCAAATATTCCTGTTGCTATGCACCGAGATCCTTATATGCAGGTCACTAGCAGAAGGGATGTGTATCAGGTTGTCAAATTGCATACATCGAAATTGACGGGAAATTTATCGTATAAATATATATATATATATATATATATATATATATATATATATATATATATATATATACAGGGGTAGAATCTCCGACTGACGCCAATTCAGCCGGGTTTCGATCCAAGCTAGAGGCAACCGGACATCTATCCACACTGATGAGCTGTGATACAGCGAAACAATCTGTCTGTGGAGGACAATATATATATATATATATATATATATATATATATATATATATATATATATTCACTGTGTGTAACCGCAAAATTGTCCAAATCCTATAACAACATAATTATCTATCCAACAAAATATGTAATATCGAAAACACCACTAAAATAATTGAGTTTCTTTTTTCCTGATTTTCACATAGTACGATTAGCCATCTTGATACAATTTCTTGTAAGATTCACTGAAATCCCTTTGGATTATTAAGCTAAAAAGGGAACAGATAAATATCGTTTTGTGTCAGATTCACTGTCTTCCAAATTGAGCAATGGTAAGAGAAAAAAGATCATTCAAGTCTTCAGTAATGGTACTAACATTCATACTCCATCTTCAAAGTCCATTCAAGAACCACCAAGAGAACGGTGAATAAATTTAAAAAAGAGGGAACAGTAGAGAGGAAAACTGGATCAGGAGGTCACAACAACAACAAGTGGTATCATCATTTCAACTTAAATCTAAAAAGATCAATTAGAAAAGATCCAACTCAATTTTTAAGGCCTTTGGCACTTGAGGGAGGAGTTTCAGCTATAGCAGTCCAAAGAGCAGTGAAAATAAATTGAAAATGCATTCGTACGTGAAACCTGTCAGACAATTGTTATTCCAGGACCGAAAGTTAGAAGATCAACTTGAATCAGTTGGGAAATGATCGTGAATATATATATATATATATATATATATATATATATATATATATATATATATATTTGAACTTAATTTCAATCTTTCATGAGGTTCCGATTTTTGGGTATGATTAATTAATGATAATAATTAATTCATCACGATTCTTTTGTTAAGCTTGGAGTAATTATACACTCTTATTGCTCAAAGTAGACTGTAGTATTGTTATAAAAACCTCGGATAATTCCAGTAAGATACCTTTAAAATTATTTCTCAGCTACAACGGTTAAGAGCTTAATCTAAAAATTGGACAATTTTGCTGTTTCACGATTTGGAGAATCTTGCTGTTAAATCCGGTATATATATATATATATATATATATATATATATATATATATATATATATATATATATATATGTGTGTGTGTGTGTATTGTGTATGTATATATATATATATATATATATATATATATATATATATATATATATATATGTTATGGGACCTTACCCATAATAACATAATGGACTATTCCATACGTAATAAATACTGCGCCTCAAGAGGAAGCAGAGAGTTCAGTCCGAAGTCGGGCGACCGGCTGACAGGCTAATCGGTTGAACTCTCTGCCTTCGGGGGGAGGAACCTGAACGAGGCTACGCCGAAGGGCGGAGTCTCTTCTGGGAGGTAAACCGACCCTGAACCCGGTTATACGGGTTGAAAGGGTATATTTTTGGCCGAGCCCACGGGCTGGAAGATCTCACGTTAAACCGGCCTTGTGCCACATGATTCCCTCGTGGTGGTGGTGCGGGGGGGGGGGTGACTAAATACCGTTCAGTCCGAAATCGGGCAACCAGCTGACCGGCTGATCGGTTGAACTCTCCCTTCGGGCGGGGAGGAACTCGAACGAGGCTACGCCGAAGGGCGGAGTCTCGTTCGGTTAAATACTGTTCAGTCTGAAGTCTGGAGTGAGGTCCGTCAGGAGTCCGTCAGTCAGCCAGAGCGAGTCAATTAATCAGTCTGAAACAGAGTCGCGTTCAGACAATTACTACTAAACCTGATTGTCTGTACTAACTTTCTACATCTCTATATATATATTCCTGTTTGTAATATATCTGAGTTATTCCATATCCGTGTTCTAGTTCTTCTTTATTGGTTCTAACTTGGACTATCCCCGTGATTCAAGGAACCGGACCATAACAATATATATATATATATATATATATATATATATATATATATATATATATATATATATATATGCGCGTGTGTGTGTGTGTGTGTTGAGCGTACTGGCGTTGTTCGAATTCCTCATCAGTCCAGATCATACTATTTCTCCTAGTAAATGTAACTAAGGTACGCTCAGCATAGTTGCAGTATACACCACGAGTGGGCTCTCTGTGTGTTTAATAAACACAACGTGTGTCTTCAACAGGTATTGGCTAGCCGTTCTAGCAGCCGATACGCTCAGAAAACGAATAAGCAGTCTTTTAGGTATATTTAAATAACACTCTGTTAATATCAGTGGTCTATAGGAAATTGTACGCCTTCAACGATTTATTACTATATGCACACCTTTCATAGAATGCATAGTTTAAACAAAAACTGTGCTATAAACGTTTAATATGAAACGTGTCTTGCCACAAGACCCACATCATTTTTGTAACTCAATTTCTTCCAGTGTTTTCGCAACGTATTATCGATAAGAGATACACTAACCATGATACATTTCTTCACTTCCGTAATATTGCGTGGTTGTGCTTGCGAATTATATAAGAGCACGAGAAGAAAAATAACACTTTCAGTTATCTGTATGTTACGGTGGTCACCTCACTAGAGAGAGAGGTCAAGCTTTTGGAAAAAATGTTATGCGTGTCTTCTTACAGCCGTGAGAGAAAAAAAAAAGAAACAAGTTTAGGATCTCAAGATAGCTCATCTTTTTTATTGCCTTCTCAGCAGAATAAATTCGGTTAAAGAGCCTGTCTGCGAGGCATAAAGCACAAAAGGCATTAACCTGGACTGATGCGGACAACGAATTGCCAAGATGCCAAAATCAAACAAGTACAAAATATTTAAATATCTAGAAATTGTTTTAACGAAGGACAGAAAATGCGTCTTTTTTCAGATTTCGTTAGAAAAACATAAAAGACTACTTAATCATTATACAATATCGGCCATCCAATATGTCAGTGAATGCCGGTTTGGTTTGCTTCACGGCATATCAACAGCAATGGGTTATTTAATGCCGACAAGATTTTTATTGCTGGTAATATTTTTTTTGTTCAAAAATGCATTGTGGTAATATTTTATTTTCAAACATGTATTACTGGTAATAATTTTTTTTTCCAAAATGTATTGTGGTAATATTTTATTTTCAAACATGTATTACTGGTAATATTTTTTTTCCAAAATGTATTGTGGTAATATTTATTTGAAAAATGAATTGCAGGTAATATTTTTTTTTTCAAAAATGTATTGTGGTAATATTTATTTGAAAAATGAATTGCTGGTAATATTTTTTTTTCAAATATGTATTGCTGATTTTTTTCAAACATGTATTACTGGGAATATTTTTTTTTCAAAAATGTATTGTGGTAATATTTTTTTCGAAATTGTATTGCTGGTAACATTTTTTTTTCAAAACTATATTGCTGGTAATATTTTTTTTCAAAACTATATTGCTGGTAATACTTTTTTTCAAAACTGTATTGCTGGTAATATTTTTTTTTTCAAAAATGTATTGCTGCTAATTAATTTTTTTACAAAGTATTTCTGGTATTAAAACTTATTTTTACACTTTCATAGTGTTTTGACACCAGTTTGGGGGTTAACTATTTACACATAGCTGGAACCCTAACATGTGCTACCACCCTGGGTCAGTGTACCTGGGAACGCCAGCAATTAAAAGGTAGTTCCACGCTCCTCAAAACCTCCTGATCAGAGGCCTTCCTGTTGGACGTAGTTTATCGTCTTACCCAGGACGCGAATGTAGTTTATTATCATACCCAGGACGAGCGGACGTCGCTAAGTCTCATCACCGATAAAGAAAAGTGACTGGAGGCAACATAAATCTGCTTCTACAGAAGGATGCTGAGGATACCATAGACTGTACATGCGAGCAGCTGCAAAGTTCTAAGAGAAAATGGAAACAAAAAAGACATACTCAGAACCAGAAAGAAACGGAAGAAATTTCTAGGACACATAACGAGGAAAGAGAGCTTGGAAAATTGAACACTCACAGGAGATGTTGAAGGCAAGATGGGCAGAGAGATGCAGCTCATAACTTACCTAACGAGTTTAAATGGTTGGCAGAACAGGGATTAGGAGAGATAGCAAAAAGACAAAGAGCTACAAGGTACAGGGATTTCATGGAGAAACATGATCGACTACGTGTTGTAGGAACACGACATAAAGAAGAAGAAGAAGAAGAAGAAGAAGAGGGGAAGAGGAGAAGAAGAAAAAGAAGAAGAGGGGAGGAGGAGGACAAGGAGAAGAAGAAGACGAAGAAGAAGAAGAAGAAGAAGAAGAGGGGAGGAGGAGGAGGAAGAAGAAAAGGGGAGGAAAAAAAGGGGAGGAGGGAAGAAGAAGAAGAAGAAGAAGAAGGGGGGAGGAGAAGAAGTGGGGGAGGAGAAGAAGAAGAGGAGGAGGAGGAGAAGAAGAAGAAGGGGAGGAGGAGGAGAAAAGAAGAGGGGGAGGAAGAGGAGAAGAAGAAGAAGATGCCATGATATGAATGATGTCTAGTATAGCATATGTATAATGCAGTATGAATGTAAGATTTTAACGCTCCCTACATTCGGCCTTGTACCACATCTAAGCTATGAATTACTATACTGGATACTCTGATGATTCTTCCTATTCTACAATCCTCATCAACTTCCTATCTCGTGTGACTCTTTACAGTTTTTCTTCTTTTATTAAGTCTCCTTATCCGCTTCTGTCATCCATTCATCCAATCTCGTCGGATAAGTGAATTCTTAGGCAACTGATCAAAAATATTTGAACCTGTTCAATTTTTGATTTGTTTTTTACGGTTTATCAGCCCTTTGCCGAAACATATTTTTGGATTGTAAGAATATTTCTTTTGTTTTTTTTGTGAGTTACCAAGTATTAACATAATATGAATAAAGGCAAAAGGATAACCTTTTTCAAATATCGCCTTTTCCAAAAGAAATACTAATTTCACAAGACAACATGCATTACTATAAAAAAATTCAAGCAATCAGTTAAATTCTAAAACTTCTATTATTTTAAATACATAATACATACATTAATCTGATATTAAAATAATATAAATAATACTTACATGATGAAAAATTCAACAACGACAATTTACTCATTTTTGTTTCTAAGACATTAAATAACATCACTTAGTTTCCTCCATAACTCACCTTGACTTTCAGTTAGACTGGGGAATATATAGGAATGTTTCTTAAATTTAAAAAAATCCAAAAACTAGCGACATTTTTAAATCTGTGTTTAAATGCTTGTAAAATAAAACCCGTACATTTGCTTTAAGCAGCACCCATCAGAGGAGAAAAGATTTCGTCTAAGATAAGTTTTCCTTTTGTATATATATATTTGTGGAATGAGTGGGGTATTCGACTGTTAACGAAAACTCGGGTTTACAGAGCTGTTGTACTTGCCATCCTTTTGTATGGCTCAGTGTCGTGGACTCCATACAGGTACCATAAACACCAGCTAGATGTTTTCCATAAAATCTGTCTGCGTGCAATCTGTGGAACTAACCTTCAAGATGGGATATCTAACGTAGACCTGTTTAACAGGTGTAATATTGGAGGAATCGAGACTTTTATCATACAGTCTCATGTACGCTGGACTGGTTATGTCTTGAGAATGTCTGATGACAGGATACCCAAGATCCTAATGTACAGTCATATAGATCAGGGCTACAAGAATGTAGGACGCCCATGGCTAAGATACAAAGACAAGCTGAAAAGCAACTTGTCAGCAGTCAGTATACCACATAACACCCTTGAGCGCTTAGCCTTGGAGCGGGTAGAATGGAGATCAACGTGTTTTAGTGGACTCAGCAGTTTTCAATCTGCTTGTCTGAATCATCTTCAAGAAGCGAGAGCAAGATCTAAAAGGTCAGCCAATCTAACAGTGATCTCATCTCACAATCCTCACACTTGCTCCATATGTGGCCTCCTTTGTAAATCGCTAGCGGGTCTTAAATGCCACTTAAGATTATCGTACAAACTTCCATAACTGAAACGAGTAAGCTGTCAGATCCTAATACGTTGAAACCGACGGGAGAGCCCATTATATATATATATATATATATATATATATATATAATTCTCAAAATGTGTGTGTATTGTTTGTGTGTGTGCGGATGTTGTTTATGCATTTCCACAGGTTTCCTCCAATTTCGATGACTTTCTTTTTTTGTTTAATGGATAATTCTTCAGTGGCAGTTTTGAGTTCGAAATTGTTGTCAGCAATGGCTCTCCACTACTTCCTGTCCATTATAACTTTCAGCAACGTTTTATGATTTACTATCTGTTCTTGGATATATATATTTCATAAAAAAAAATTTAATAAAAATAAATAGTTTAAATTATTACAATAATATTATCTATATCAATAAATCTCGAAATGTGAGTGTGTATGTATGCGTGTATGTATGTGTGTGTGTGTGTGTGTGTGTGTAATCGGATGTTGTTTATGGGATTCCACACTTTTCATCCGAACTCTTCTACGCGCGAGGCTGAAAATGATGATCGAAGGACCTAACGGCTGAGGAGAAACGCCTCTTCAACTGTTGCTGAAACAAGATCGAGAACGCAACAACTGCCCTTTTCAGGGCCACCCCCAACCCATTTAAATTTTTACCCCCTCCCTTTCGGGATGTGTTTCAGTTGTTGTTACAAATATTGATTTTTGTGTGGGCTGATTTTAAAATGAAACTGATGAACGGTAAAAATTCCCAGTAAAGAACCGGTCGATGATGGGTTATAGTGCTAGTATATATATAAATTGTGTTTACATATATATATATATATATATATATATATATATATATATATGACAAACTAGAAAATTTTCTGTGACGCATTTCATACGATGATACGCGTCACAAACATTTCCAGTTTATCATATTCTTCTAAATACTGTTTGTTGATATATAAAAATATACAAAGTTATATATCGTTATATATATATATATATATATATATATAAAGAGAGAGAGAGATAATATTAGTGGAAAATATACATACATATGCAAAATATATAAATACCCATACATGTATATTTTTAGAAAAAAATATTCCAAGAGGAAGAATCCAGGTAGAACTCAATGTCTAGGACAGAGTAAGGATATAATAAAAAAGGCTTAAACACTAATATTACATGGTCATAATTTATTCCATTGGAATCGTAAATACGATCCAATTCATCAGACCTACAAATCTTTTTGAATTTGTAGGTCTGATAAATATATATATAGGTCTGATAAATTATATATATATATATATATATAATTATATATCGTTATATATATATAAAGTTATATATCGTTATATATATATAAAGTTATATATCGTTATATATATATATATATATATATATATATATATATGACAATATATATGCTCCTGAAAAATTTATTTCAGTTGAGCTCTCTGGGGAGGAAGTGTGGGTTTGTAAATAGTGACTATAACGGCTAATAATGCAAGATTAGATGTCTTAGTAGTAGTTTTTTTTTATAAGAATTTTTTATGTACTGCGGATCGATAGTAAGATCGTGGAACGCGCAAAAAAGACATTACACTATATTATTGAACTATATACTTAGTTCATGGCATAAAAAACTAATACACTTGTAAAATAGAATATGTGGATTTAACACATCACAAGAAATATTTAAATAAAATTCTCACTAAAAAATTTTGAAAAACTTAGCGTTGCGTCTTTGCGCGTTCCACGATCTTACACACCCGTCAACAATAGCAGATATTCAAAAAAACATCTTTCGGTCGACATACAGATATATCGTCTCAAGTTTTGATTTTATAAGAAAAAAAAACACATGCCTGATGATGGATGGAAGACCGTCCGTAAGTACTAGCATTTTAACATCAAATAAACTGAAAAACTACAGACAACAAGTTTTTCTTCAAGGACCAAAACTCGCACTCTGGATGAACAGGATTTTAATGCATATATTATGTTTTCTAGCGACGGATGTCGCCAATAATCGCATTAATACTTCTGATTAATTCTATGTGATTATTCTTTATATATATATATATATATATATATATATATATATATATATGCCGCGTGTAACTGCAAAAATTGTTCAAACCGTATTACAGCAGAAAATGCTTAATATGTAAAAAAATCACTAAACTAATTGATTTTCGTTTTTTCAGGTTTTAGGATGAGATGCTTTGCCATCTTGACACCAATTGTCATAAGAATCACTGAAAAACACTTTGAGTTATTCAGCTAGAAAAAGAACAGGTTAAAATCGTTTTGCGTCAGACCCACTGTCTTTCCAATTGAGCAATGGTGAAAGGAAAAAAAAAACCATTCAGGCCTTCAGTAATGGTACCACTATTCATATTCTGGCTCCATCTTCAAAGTCCATTCAAGAGCCATCAAGAGAACGATAAGTTTTAAAAAAGCGGGAATACTACAGAGCAAAACTGGATCAGGTGGTCACAACAGCGAGAGAGATCATCATTTCAACTTAGAACTAAGGACACCAATTAGAAAAGATTCAACTCAATCCATAAAACGTTTGTCACGTGAGAAAGGAGTTTCAACTATTACAGTTAAAAGAGAAGTGAAAAAACTTGAAAATGAATTCGTACTGGAAACCTGTGAGGCACTTTGTTTCTCCAGGAGAATGGTAGAAAGGGCGAAATAATGTTGAATAAGTTGAAAAATGATCCTACAACAATATAAATATATATATATATATATATATATATATATATATATATATATATATTATATTCGAACAATTTCAATCCTTTATGAGCTTCTGATCCTTAGCTATGATTAATTAATTATGGACATGTCATTTTCATTTATGATCGATTTCATCACGATTCTTCTGTTAAACTTGTAGAGCAATTATACATTCTTATTGCTCAAAGTAGAGCACAAAAGTATTTTGAAACCCTCGGAAATTTCCCTGTAAGATATCTTTAATCATTTCTAGGATACAACGGTTCAGTAATTAATCTAACAATTGGACAATTTTGCTGCTACACGATTTGGACAATTTTGGCGTTACACCCTGTATATATATATATATATATATATATATATATATATATATATATATATATATATATATATATATATATATATATATGTATATGTATGTATATGTGTGTGTTTTACACACACATATATATATATGTGTGTGAGAGTGTGTGTGCGTATGTGTGTGTACTTGTATATATTTATGGAAGAAGAGTACACGATAGGCCTGTATTCTAGGGCGGCGAGCTTGTCCCTATTGCGTATCCGCATGCTTAGGCACATTTGTGTATGATCAACACCTACAGAGCACCTGCGTGCGTGTGTGTATATATAGAGAGAGATAGGGGGGAGAGTAAGGATGAGAGCATGATTATAATATTACCACATATAAATACGTTTACACACACACACACACACACACACACACACACACATATATATATATATGTGTGTGTGTGTCAGTGTGCGATTATCTATTT